TATATGCCCGATGAAGGTTAATGAACATAATCGTCTTGTCTGTTTGCTTAGATGGAAGTACTGTGGGCCTTGGGCAGCTTGTAAGGGGCTGATTGGTATTTCAGTGAAAAAAGTGTGAGACTTTCGTGTTAGATTCAGATGATAAGCTCTTCAGAAATGGGAGGGTGGCCTTCTATACTATGTAAGGACTGCAAGTGGCACATATTTGTAATACCTAAAAGAGAATGTGAACCTTAGCGTTATTCAGAAGGACTTTCTGTTATAAGTATTAAAGAAAACTCATTAATTAGGACCTTTTTGTTGGCTTTCCCTACCTGCAAATAGAATATTAAGACTGGGGTACGACTGCGTCTAAAGAAGGGATTTATAGCTTTAGGAATGCACTCTGGTAACTGGATGGCGGGGAAGGTTTCGTTTTAGCTTTCTTACTTGTATTGCATTTTTAGGTCTAGACTTAGATTTCAATCTATAAATAGCTTTTAAAAGACTTATGGGAAATAACAAAACTACAGATGAATAAAATTAAAGTCCATCAGCTTATTTGAAAGTTGACCATTAGAGGGCGACACTTTAAACTTCTAGTATTAATAAATTTTAAATTGGGACAATTGAGAATTATAAATGAGGTATTTTTTTCCTCTTAACACATCATAATATTGTTTTAAGGTGTACAATACTATATTTTAGGCTGAAAACCTTCTTGGAATCCTCTTAGGAAGGTTTTGAATTCCTTACCTAGTTATTCTGCGAGCCACTGTCCCTTCCCTGTGCCCTTGATACCTGAAATCTAAGTGCACACATAGTTTGAACTATTCTCAAAGGTATCCCTAAGGTTGCAGAAATTTTTTCTTAATCAAAAGAGAAGATTAAATTTAACCAGAGTAGTGCAAGATTTGTACACTGAGAAGTAGAGAACATAGTTGAAAGGAATTAAGGAACACCTAATTCAATGGAAAAACATCCCATGTCATAGATTGGGAGACTTGATACTGTTATGATGGCTGTACTACCTGAACTGATCATCAGATTCAGTGCAACTCTTATTAAAACCCCAGCTGGCTTTTCTGCAGAGATGCACAAGCTGATTCTAAAATTCAAATGTGAACACAAGGCACGCAGAAAAGTAGAATAAGGTTGGAACACTCACAGTTTCTGATTTCACACTTGCTCCAAAGCTGCATAAGTGAGACAGTGGTCGTGGAACGAGGATGGACATACAGACCAATGGAATAGATCTGAGTCCAGAAATGAACACTGGCATTTATGGTCAGCTGATTTTCAGCAAGGGCACCAGTACAATTCACTGGGGAAACAATAGTATTTTTAACAAAGGGTGATGGGATAACTGGATATCTGCACGCAAAAGAGTGAACTTGGACCCTTACCTTACTGAATATGAAAGTAATTAAAAATGGATTGTAGACTTAAACGTAAGAGCTAAAGCTGTGGAAGAAGAAGCTCTTAGAAGCAAATATATTAATGAATTGTTGTGACCTTGGATTAGATCATGGTTTCTTAAATGTGACTCTAAAAGCATACGCAGAAAAGAAAAAGTAGGTAAACTGGACTTCATCAAAATTAAGAACTTTGTACTTCAAAGGGCACCATCCAAGTGAAATGACTGGCCACAGAAAGGGAGAAAGTATTTACTGATAATGTACCTGATAAGGGTCTTCTATCCAGAGTACATAAAGAATTCTTAAAATGCAATAATAAAGATACATAACCCAATTAAAAAATGAACAGCAACTGACAAAGGATTCATCTCCAAAATATACAAGCACCTCATGCAGCTCAATATCAAAAAAACAAACAACCCAATCCAAAAATGGGCAGAAGACCTAAACATACGTTTCTCCAAAGAAGATATACAGATGGCCAACAGACACGTGAAAAAATGCTCAACATCACTAATCATTAGAGAAATATAAATCAAAACTACAGTGAGGTATCACCTCACGCTGGTCAGAATGGCCATCATTCAAAAGTCTACAAACAGTAAATGCTGGAGAGGGTGTGGAGAAAAGGGAACCCTCTTGCACTGTTGGTGGGAATGTAAATTGGTGCAGCCACTATGGAGAACAGTATAGAGGTTCCTTAAAAAACTAAAAATAGGACTACCATATGGCCCAGCAATCCCACTACTGGGCATATACCCGGAGAAAACCATAATTCAAAAAGGGACATGTATGACAGCGTTCATTGCAGCCCTATTTACAATAGCCAGGACATGGAAGCAACATAAGTGTCCATTGATGGATGAATGGATAAAGAAGATGTGGCACATATATACAATGGAATATTACTCAGCCATAAAAAGAAATGAAATTGAGTTATTGGTAGTGAGGTGGATGGACCTAGAGTCTGTCATACAGAGTGAAGTAAGTCAGAAGGAGAAAAATACTGTATGCTAACATATATATGGAATCTTAAAAAAAAAAAAAAGATTCTGAAGAACCTAGGGGCAGGACAGGAATAAAGACACAGACATAGAGAATGGACTTGAGGACACGGGGAGGGGGAAGGGTAAGCTGGGACGAAGTGAGAGAGTGTCATGGACATGTATACACTACCAAATGTAAAATAAATAGCTAGTGGGAAACAGCTGCATAAACAGGGAGATCAGCTCGGTGCTTTGTGACCACCTAGAGGGGTGGGATAGGGAGGGTGGAGGGAGACGCAAGAGGGACAGGGTATGGAGATATATGTATACATACAGCTGATTCATTTTGTTATACAGCAGAAACTAACACACGATTGTAAAGCAATTATACTCCAATAAAGGTGTTAAGAAAAAAAGAATAAATAACCCCTGGGGGAAAAGAAAAGTGAACAAAGAATTGAATAGGTATTTACCCAAAGATGTACGAATGGCCAATAAGCACATGAAAAATGGTCAGCACCCTTGGTCATTAGTGAAATGCAAATCAACACCTTCAAACACACCTGGGAAGGCTAAAATAAAAGAGACAGACGTTAGTGTTGACAAGGATGTATGTGGAGAAATTAGAGTCCTTAGACCTTGCCGATAGGATTATAAATGATGTAGCCACTTAGGTAAACAATTCGGCAGTTCCTTGAAAAGCTAAACACAGAGTTACCATGCGAATGAGCAGTTCTACTCGCAGGTATACATATACCCATCAGGACTGAAGACGGGTGTGCAAACAAAAACGTATGCATGAGAATTCACAAGAGCATTATTCATACCGGCCGTAAAGTAGGAAGAACCCAAATGTCCGTCAGTGGATGAGCGGATAAACTGTGGCATCTCTCTATAATGGAGTACTATTCGGTGATACAAAGGAACGTCTCGTTACCTGCTGCAGCCTAGATGAACCCTGAAGCTATTAGGCCAAGAGAAAGAAGGCGGTCACAAAAGGTCGTGTGTTTCCCTTGTGAGATTCCATTTACAGGAAATGTCCAGAGGAGGCAAATCCATAGACACAAAGCAGATTAACAGTTGCCAGGAGCTGGGGGAAGGGAGGATGGGGAGTGAATGCTACAGGGTGCGGGGTTGTCTTTTGGGTGGTAAAAATGTTCAGGAATTACGGTGGTGATGGACGAACACAAACCACGCAATTATTCACAAGTGATAAATCTTGAGTTCTGGCGAGTCCGGCAGCCCTGGGCCCACTCACAGCGGCTCATCTCTAGGAGGAGGGGGCAGCCCGGGTGGAGCCAGGGGCCAGGGAGGGTCATGCCCACTTCCTGGATTGGGTCCTGTGCACAGTGCGGCTGTGGCCCCCTGCAAGAAAAAAAGAAAAGAAAATGATGTGTGAATTGTATCTCAGTAGAGCTATTATTTTAAAAGGGTAATTTTACAAAGTTCTTAAAATACATTTGTTTTACATTTTGGCTAAGATTTAGGGGAGGAGTAAATGTAGATTTGTATTCTTGAGATCAGAAACTGCTAGATATTCACTGGAGTCTTTCTTTTTAAGTTTGTTTTTTTTAATATTTGGCTGCATTGGGTCTTTGTTCCAGCTCGTGGACTTTCTCCAGTTGCGGCGGCCGGGGACTACTCTTCCTTGCAGTGCGCGGGCTTCTCATCGCGGTGGCTTCTCTTGTTTCGGAGCACAGGCTCTAGGCGCGTGGGCTTCAGTAGTTGTGGCACTCGGGCTCAGTAGTTGTGGCTCGTGGGTTCTAGAGCGCAGGCTCAGTAGTTGTGGCGCACGGGCTTCGTTGCTCCGCGGCATGTGGGATCTTTCCGGACCAGGGCTTGAACCCGTGTCCCCTGCATTGGCAGGCAGATTCTTAACCACTGCGCCACCAGGGATGCCCCCTCATTGGAGTTTTAAAATACTAACTTTTGTACATCCAAAACTTATATAATATTGTACATCAACTATACCTTAATTAAAAAAAATACTAATTCCCTGCTGGCTTGCATATAAATGAATATAAACAGGATTTTGAATTTTTACCTGTTCTAAACGTTCATGAATAACTATGAATCTTTTTTTATGTATTGTAATATGATCTGGAAAAGCAAGGCATGTCTCTTTTTCTAAAAGAGAATATTTAAATTTAAATATTTCTGCATATAAGAAATGTCATTTGGTAAGAATAGAAAACAATTGAATTCATGCTCATTTTTAAGTGTAGGCATGAAATAACATGCATTAATTTTATATTGACTAAGAAAATCATTTAATGATGGAATTGGTAAATATTTATACTTTAAAATTAAAACTTTACATTTGATATTTTGATGTAAAAGCTGGGAAATAGGTGATAACAATTTATGAGGAATTTATTTTTGTAAATTTGAGCCAATTTAGTTTATATTTTAATGGCCTTTCTATGTATCCCAAAGGCAGTTGTGATGCATGACATTTTGTGCAGTCCAGCATTTCTCTGAATAATGTGATTTTTGATGTCTAAAAGCTTGTATTTAAAAAAAAGCTATTTTAAATTTGGTCTGTTAATATAATGCCTTATTTTAGAAGCCTCTTTTCCCGACAAGTTTAATAATTTCTGTCCTCTTTTTCAAACAGGATCTGGAAATCGTGTACTCCTATTTACATGGTATGGAAGCCTTATCCAACCTGAGGGAGCACCAGCTTAGGTAAGGCATTTTAATATGAATAACAGTAGCATGCTTGGATTTTATGTGATTATTATTGTTTAGAAGTAGGATTAAAGATGACTGACTTGTGAAAACTCTGCCTCATCTGGCCTTGTAAGTTTTACATCCATATAATAATTTCCGACGTTTCTGCCGTAGTGATCACCTCTCTGCTTCCCGTCCCTCTCCCTGCCCTCCCCACCTGAAGTAATAAACACCACTTGGTGAATACACCGAAGGAGCATTATTTGCCATCCTGGCAAATAAAAATCTGCTTCCTAGCGCTCAGCTACATAAGAAACCAGAATGTGTTTAACTGTTCCAAGAATGATTCAGTTCACTGTTTTAGTATGTTCTAGGTCTTTATATATAACATATTTATTGCATTAAGTTGACTGCCCTTTTCTGGGAAATTCAGTTTATACCATAGTTGTTTTTTATATAGTCCATTCATATAAAAATCTTACCACTTCTCTTGTGCAGTGATACAGCAACCTTATTTATGGTTATCTGGGCTTACATTAAAAGATCAGAAACATCTTGTATAATCCAGTGATTAACTGGAATAGAAAATAAAGGACCTTAGGAAGACGCATTACATATAAACCCCAACTAGGACGTTATGGGAAAGTTTTGTTGTCTCCAGCTACTTTTGATACCAGCAGTTTTTAATTATGAAAGGAATACGTTTTCTGTGTATTTCCCCTTTACTCTTTAAATACTAGTTAATTTGTGAGCATGTCAATTTCATATTTAGTTGTTAATTGAAAAAAGTGTCAAGAGGATTGAATACTTCTAAAATTGAATTTGTAATGAAAATGATTTAAATTAAAGTTTTATTAGAAAGAGCAAAACCATTGGGAATTTGGAAGACGGCTCAAATTAAAGCAAGGATAATCTCTAAAGTGTGTAAATTTCATTTTATGTTTTTTGATGACAGCTATCCTAGGAAAAAATTATAGTGCCAATTGTCTGTTTAATTGAATGCAGTTAACCTGCAAACGCAAATGAATGAATTAATATGAAAATATAAATGTCACATTGCCATATGCATATGACTACACATGGATAATATTTCAATAATATTCAGATATATCAATTATATAATGTGTGTCTATAGTATATGTAGTTATAAAATTACTTAGGTAATAGTAATTTGGTGCAATAGAAAAAGGAAAATTTTAATACATCTTACGAATAGTTTTAAGATTACGAAAGTAGAGGTAATACAATAAAGCCCCGTACACCCACTAACCATTTTCTGCTATTTCACGAGTAAATTTTGGTTAGAAACAACTGACAACTTCAACAGTGTAGCTTAGCAGACTCAGACCTTAAAGAAGTCTATTTTGGAGACTATTCAGCTATGTTGGCATGAACTTACAAGGAGTCACCTTTAAGATGTGTCTCTTGTTCTGCTTGTGTCAAAAAGTCGTTTGTTTCTCATATTTATGCAAGACATCAACTAACTTGAGTCCTTTTTTAGAAGAAGATCAGGATAGCAGAATGAATAATAGCAAGAAAAGAAGCACAGATAAACTCGATGACTTGGATAAACTGCTTTGTAATAACTACCCTTTCTGGGAAAAGTACGTCTTGTCTTAATTTAGAGAAGTTATTTCCTTTGAATTTTATAAATAAAATTTTACCCCTGGGATTAATAGAGAAGAGTTAAGACTTCCACACAATACAGTTATCCAATTTTAGCAAAAAAAAAAAGCTCTTCCTCAAGGTTGTCCAGGTCTGTTTATTGAGTGCTGGGCAGTGGAACACTGGTCTGCTAGGAAGGAGGGGAGGCTTTCCACTGTGGGAGCCTCACTTTGTGTACCGTGGGGCTGTCCGTATGCAAGCAGTGCGTTGATCCTGAGCAGTTGGTGACGTGCAGTTAATTGCCTGTGTTGCTGTAAGATCACACACTCTATACAATGGAAAGGTTTCCAGGTCCTCACTGACATACTGTACGTCTTTTCCACACAGCATTATTTTTCTAAGGTTTACTCCCTTCATACAGGTGGGTCAGAGGCAGCATATTTGCAGAGGGGAGGAGGAAGGTCCAGTGGGAGTGGAGGCCAAGAATCTGTAAAGAGCAGAGTGACTGGGGCCACTCAGTGCAGGAAGCAAGAGCCTGCTGAGTTATGTGTGTGTGTGTTTATACGTGTATACATACTACATATATATAGTATAACATATGTATGGTTATGTGTGTATACGCATATGTATACACACTACATCTATATAGTATAACATATATATGGTTATATGTGTGTATACATATATACACACTATATATAGTATATATATGTTGTGTGTATATGTGTATATATACACACACTACGTATATAGTATAACATATATATGGTTATATGTGTATATACATATATACACACTACATAGGTATATATACTATAACATATATGGTTCTGTGTGTGTACATATGTACACACTACATATATATAGTATAACATATGGTTATGTGTGTACATATACATACACACTACGTATGTATAGTATAACATATATATGGTTGTGTGTGTATACATATATACACACTACACATATATAGTATAACATATATGATTATATGTGTGTATACATATGCACATACTACATATATATAGTATAACATATATGGTTATATGTATGTGTGTATACATGTATATATGTGTACACTACCTATACATAGCATAACATATATATGGTTATATGTGTGTATACATATGTATACTACATATATAGTATAACGTATATGGTTATATGTATGTGTGTATACATGTACATATATATGTACACTACCTATATACAGTGTAACATATATATGGTTATATGTATGTGAGTTTGTATACATGTATATTCTTTAGCATTATGGATGAGCGTAATTATTATCATACAGGCAGTTTTAGACCTTAAGGAACAACTAAAATCTGGCTAGTATATTCTTTAGGAATTCAGGGAAGATCAGTATGCTTTTGATGAAACATTCCTTAACAATGTTTAAAGAAAAAAAAAGCATTTTGGTACTGTTTCCATTTATTTAGAACATTGTCCTATAGACGATTTTATCGTGATTTTCTCGTGGCGCTAGGTTAGTTCTTTTATGCAGTCAACAGTTATCCACTGGAGTCCTACTACCTGCTAGACATCCAGGCAGGCCATGAAGAAACAGCAGTGAACTAGACCAAGCCCCTGCTGTTCCTAGTGGGGCAGACAGGATTTAGATGTGAGCATGTTGGGCATGGTAAGAATGGACGCTCGGCTGCTTTGACTTTGTGGCTGAAAGGAGGGAACACTTGGGTTGGCTCAGCTGTGCGGAGAGCCCTGCAGTGCCGATGGGCCCCCGATGCCCACGGTGGGAACAGGCAGGGGCCGTGGGAGAGTAACTATAGGATGCTAAGTGTAGTCAGCAGCGCAGGGCTGCGTATTCAAGGAGTTTGGATTTTCATGTAAAGGCAGTGGAGATTAAGAGCAGGTGTGACGTAGAAGCCCGCACACCGCAAGGAAGAAAGATCCCGCGTGCTGTGACTAAGACCCTCTGCAGCCAACATAAATAGATAGATAAAAATAAATAAATAAATAAATTTTAAAAAGAGCAGGTGCGAGGTGATGGGACGTCATGTCTGGAGAATGGACAACAGGTGTGCAGAACAGACTCAGAATCTACCTGTGTGGTCCTGGTAGGCGATGACAGTGGGATGGTGGCTGAGACTGGGTTTTCACCGGCAGGTAGTGAACGTGGTCTGCCTGGGAGGGTGGATTTTGGAAACAGGACGTGGCGGAAAGATGGGATTTGAAGGAGAGGGAGGAGAGTCAAGGATGGCGACTCCAAGGTTTTGGCCTAGACGATTGGGTTCTGACTGTGGGAGAGCAGATTTGGGGGGAAGGAATTTAAGATCTGTTGGACATTTTGAACATGGAGCGGTTATCCCACTGAGTAGGCATTTGGATGCGTGGTGTCATGGTGAGAGGTTAGGTGTGGGGCATGGCTTTGGAGCATCAGCTTAGGGATTACATTAAAAATCACAGACTGGGGCTTCCCTGGTGGCGCAGTGGTTGAGAGTCCGCCTGCCGATGCAGGGGACACGGGTTCGTGCTCCGGTCTGGGAGGATCCCACATGCCGTGGAGCGGCTGGGCCCGTGAGCCATGGCCGCTGAGCCTGTGCGTCCGGAGCCTGTGCTCCGCAACGGGAGAGGCCGCAGCGGTGAGAGGCCCGCGTACCGCAAAAAAAAAAAAAAAAAAAAATCACAGACTTGATGAGGTTACATGGTGCAGAGGAGAAGAGGGCGGACAGCCCCTGGAGGCGATGCATTTCGAGTCAGGTAGAGGAGTGAGAGGGGCAGAGAGTCCAAAGGAGACTGAAAAAATGACGAATAAGAGGAAAACCAGAAGACTTAGAGCAGAAAATGCTGTAAGGAAAAGTCATCATGTGTTGCTGAGAAGTGGCATTAATACAAGGTCAGAAAAGATTTAGATAACACAGAGGAAGCTGACAACTCTCAGAGTTGTTTTTGTTTTTTGGCCGCACGGCTTGTGGGAGCTCAGTTCCCCAACCAGGGATTGAACCCAGGCCCTGTCCGTGGAAGCCCGGAGTCCTACACACTAGGCCGCCAGCAGCTCCCCCCGACCCCCCTTTTTGTTGAGTTTCAGGGACCCAGTGATGGAGGAGAGGGAGGAGGGCGAGAGAATGGAGACGGTGTATTCCCGTAGACAGCTCTAAAAGGAGAACTTCTGTTGCGGGAAAAGCGGAGTATGGATGGTAGCTGGAGGCGGATATGGGGCCAAGCATGTCTCCTTCCCCACACAGTGGGCGGTCCGCATAAGGTGTGTTTGTGTATTAAGGAAGCGATTTAGGAGAGAGGGGGAAACGGATGATGGTGTGGGAGGGGTGAGCCTGCAGGAGTACAGGGTCAACCGTAGAAGGACCAGGATCCAGTGAAAAGGGTGTAACAGGAAACAGGGCAGAGCCGGTTACATAATTTAAACACCTGGTATTTTTAGACCCATTCCTTGTGTCTCTCATCCTTTCCTAGGAAGAATTGGTACGATGCAGTCTATTAAAACTTTGTTTAATGATGTGTATTCAAGGTTCGATGCTACCTTCTGGAGTTGAGCGGAAGTTTCGGGTGAGGGATTGAGAGGCTGAGGGGGCCTTTGAAGCAGGGTGCTGCCTCAAGGCAAAAGAGAACCCAGGAGGGTCGTTTTCAAGTGAAAAATCAAGAGCGTGCAAACAGCGGAAAGGCGGATGTGTGTTGATCCCAGTGTTTTCACAGATGGGGACTGGTAGCCCCGCTGACCAAAATGGCACTGCTGTTGAAACAGCCACTTTTTTTTTTTTTTTTTTTTTTTGCGGTACGCGGGCCTCTCACTGTTGTGGCCTCTCCCGTTGCGGAGCACAGGCTCCGGACGCGCAGGCTCAGCGGCCATGGCTCACGGGCCCAGCCGCTCCGCGGCATGTGGGATCTTCCCGGACCGGGGCACGAACCCACGTCCCCTGCATCGGCAGGCGGACTCCCAACCACTGCACCACCAGGGAAGCCTGAAACAGTCACTTTTACAGCCAGCCTTTTCTATTTCCTAGTTCCTTCTTAAGAAGAAATAATCCTTTTCTCTTTCGCATTTCTGTAACTTTTGGGAAATTTTACATGGGCTTAATATAATAAGATGCTTTTTGAAGATGCTGCTCTTGAGGTAATTTTGAATATTTAAACATTTATTCATGTTTTCTATAATTTTCATAGTTTATTTTCCTCAGGGATGAATCATTTGAAGTAAATAAATCTTTAAGTTGTAAAGCATTCATTTAGTCCTTAGTCATAAAAATACGCACTTTAATAAAAGCCTACTTTTGTCTGAAATTCCATACTGTTAAGTAACATTAATGTTGAATTGTGAATTATGTTATCACTTTTTAAGTTAGTAGGTTTTCCTTTCTAATTTTCAGGTTCTCTCTTAATTTTCTGTTTACCTTGGAGAACATTAATTTGTCTGCATGTCATTTACAAAGTATAAAACACATACAATTTTGTTCCCTATGAAATAAACTAGGTGAAACTGACATCTAACAAAATGTTTCTTTTCTAACATCTCTTTACCAGATTTCATTTTATTTTGTTAACCTAGGCACCACAAATATTTATCTTGAGGCCAATGAATGGTTGTGACAATTCATAAAAGTAATGTTAATTTTCTACATAATGTCTCATTTACGTTTTTAAACTATTAGTATGTTTTTTCATGACAAACGATGAACTCGTGTCTTTATTTTTTGTTTTACAGGTTAATGTGTGAAACTGTGAGATATGAAAGACATGAAGCCAATGAAGTTTTATACTAGTAGGTGTTTCCTTTGTCTTTGCACAATGTGTAATGCAGTGGCTAGATGATGTCCTTAAAGTATCAAAGAAGTACTAGGGGCACCTTGTCAAGTCAGCACTGCCTTAATTTTGCATTAACTTTTATTGCATAATTTAGAAATGTGAAGCATTTCAACTATTTCAGTCCTTTGCTGATAAGTTCACATCAGCATCTAGATGTTACTCACGTGTGGCTGGAGATAGTATTTCACATTATGGAGTATTTTGACTTTTATGAAATGAGAAATAGTGTAGAGTCTTTCCAAAGGGAAGTTTCTTCTTTAAATCATATTGATGTTCCTTTTAAGATCTGTAACGTACTCCTTGAAAAAATGGCAACTAATTTTTTAAGCAATGTGATAAACATTCAGTAGATAAATATTGGTGTGTTACGGATACTTAAGCTCTGATTTACTAGACATATTGTTTTGTTAATGTTTGCTGTGAATGACGGTTGTTCTGTTGACTTTCCTTCCTGTTTTTCAAGGCACTCACTCAGTAATTACTATTTTCCATGCATATTATAGGGAATCTTTAATGAAATAAATAAAATACAGCTTCTGCCCTTAGGGTGGCTATAATCTTTCGAGGGAGGTAGAAATAGAAAAAAGGAAAGCAACAACAATGAAAACTAACCCACCAGAATAGCTGAGACTATAGGTTTGTACAGGAGGGGTGCAGGGAAGGGTCTCGGAGAAGAGGCCCTTTGCCCTGGATCTCCTAGCATGTCTGGTGGTCTCGTGGGACTTTCTTGGCAGGAGGCACTGTGCGTACAGGGACAGAGCGGGAGGGGCCTGGCGTCACGTGTTGAACAGTGCGGCCAGTTTAGAGCGCATGGCATGGGGTGTGTGGAGTCAGGAGAAGGGGCAGGCCACAGTCACACTCGCGTGTGAATGTGTTGTTGGAAAAGTCATCCTCGATTCTTTAGACGACTGGAAATAAGTGCTTTTCCTCCTCCATTACATTTTATTCTGGAAAATTACAGATGTTCACAGTATTAGCGACAGTAGTAAAATGGGCCCCCGTGGACTCACCTTGCCACGTTGTCGACTGACAAGCAATGATGTTTCATCTCTTCCTCCACCTCTGGTGGATTATTTTGAAGTAAATCCAGACATATCAATCCAGCCATCATTGTTTTGATATGTGTTTTTATCTTTAAAAGATAGACTTAAAAAAAAACACTTAACCACAATATTATCATCAAACCTTAAGACATAATTTTCATATCATGAAAATAATCAAATTTCTTTGTCTCAAATGTTTTTTGGTACAGGTTGTTTATCTTTCTTAAGTCTCTTTTAGTCTGTAGGTAGGCGGCCAGTTTTCAAGCAGGAAAATGATGTGACCAGACGCCTCCCGGCCCCACACATCCCCTCAAAGGGTGGATTAGGTTGAGTGGACGGGCAGGGAAATCTGTTAGGAGAGAATTGCAGTCATCTGAGGTGACAGTGCTTGAACTTGGGCAGATGGAGGAACGGGGCCGTCATGGATGGATTTTAGAAGATATGGGTGGATCTGATGCAGGATGGTTCTTGGCTGTCAGTATCCATCTAGGGCTTCAGAGAATATACATGCAACAGAGAAGAGCAGTAAATAACCCAGACATAAGTGGTAATGAGAAAACTCACACCAGGGGCCGATGCCCTTAACATACTTATCCTTGAAGGAATCATGATGTAAATAACTTAAGACTATTTGTCCTCTTTCAGGAGCAATTAAAAGCTATCCGTTTAACGGGTGTACACCTGTCAGGGTTGGCGATCTCTGATGAATATTACTGACGTGTATTTTAGTCCTTTCCCTCTGAAACATGGTTTGGGCCGTGTCGAAGACGAGGCAATAGCAAACGTGTAACAAGCCCTTCGTCCGTCCCACACACTCGAATCCGTGCTCTGTGTGCATTGATTTCATTCCTCCTTGCAGCCGTCTTGCAGGTAGATCTTTCATCACCCCCGTTTTAGATATGAGGGTGCTAAGGCTTGTGTCACTGCTCAACTCGGGATCTGGACTTGTGCCCAGACCTGGTGACTCTGCAGCCCTAGCTGCCCCCCACACAGCAGCATTTCCCAGCCTTCTTCATGCCTCTGTAGAAAATGATGCTGTGTGCATGCAGGCGCGAGGACTGCATCTCTCCCTGGGGTGGCCTCCGCAAGGGGTGGTGGCGGCCCCTGAAACCCACCAGCACTTCTGCCCACATTGTGCCGGCTTCCTGACAATTATTATTTATTATTCATTTAAATGGAAGGGAGATTGCAGTGTTTTAGACATACTTGCTTTCTCTTTTTAAAGTCAGTTTAGGCGGTGAATAGGAGCCCTGCGAATCATGCAAAGCTGTGACTTGGAGAATCCTAAATTGAATGCATTCAGGAGTTTGCAGCAAGAGTTGATTGTAGTAATTGTTTGTTTTGGACTAATTACAGTGAGGTGGCAGTGTTCCTAAGCAATGAAGAATCTATGGGTATTTGGTAGATCATGATTTCCTATGACCAAAACTTCAGAGACTAAGTGCAGATACCCTCAGTCAGATTCCTAGTATTTGACCAAGCTTGTGTTGAAGGGTAGTGGGAGGATTTTCCTCTGTGATCCTTGAACAGACTTGTCTCTGCTCTGAGCAGTTGGTGTAAGTGCGGTTTTGAAAATTAAAGAACTCTTGTATTTGGGGTGTATATGAATCTGCAATAACTTAGTAATACCACCCCTCTTTTTTGGGACCTGTTGTCATTACCTCTTAGGGGGAATGAGTCTGTGCTTGAGCCTGGAGAACAACAGTGCAGTTGGAATATCAGACTTTCAGAATTTTGTTTTATGACCAAGAGATGAGTATTCATTTTCCTTATTATGTTTGCGTGCTGGTGACTTCCGAGTCTATGATTCCAGTAATTTCACCAGGTAAATATAGTACTCTTGTGATCCACCTCTGTGCCTCCTTTTTATTACCTGTAAAGTGGGGACACAGTGATCACAGGGTTCAGTGTTTCCGGCTGGCGTGAGGCTGAGATGCAGGGCTCAGTGTGAAGGAGGTAGAGCAAGGGCGCACGTGGTCGGCGCACAGAAATGTCAGCCGCGGGCAGCGTTCTCACTCCATTCACTGTTTTGGTAATTTACGTTTTGTTCTCCCAATGTTTTAGCTGCTTTAAACTTTCTTTAGGAAGGAATGATGACAGCACTGTTCTAATTCCCCTGGTGTTACTGTTTGAACAGGAACAGTATGACAAACAGTATGCCCTTTAAAATTATATTGTGATTCAGGAGAGAGCTGTGGTTCTGATAAAACGGAATTTTTAAAGTGTAGACTTGCCCATTTAATTAGGTACGATTAGTTGAGCTTTACACAGTGGACAGGAGCATCAGGTAATTTCTGCCTTTCTTTCATTTGCTGTCTATTAGATGCTGGGTATTTTGCTAGCTTGGAAATACTAAGGGAGATAGTACTCATTTCACCTGAGGCACTTATTTTAGAGAATTTAAGAAAGGAGATAAACAAGTGCGTTCGTTCTCCTTACTTTCTCTTTAATGGCCAGCCATCCTCACCATTTCAGTTTAATATATAGTTACATGTAAAGTGCTAAAAACCTTTAGATCAGAAATTCAACCATTCAGATATATCTTTTTTACGCCTGCACACACAGCCGCTCTCTAAACACGGGTATCCCTGAACCGTGGGCCCGATTGCCACGCACGGGTCGGACTGAATGCTTTGGTTTCCAGAAGAGTTTTCAGAGCACTTTGTTACGGGGTTTATCTCCCCTTATTGCAGGAGAGGAAATGGTTCCTTTTTCAGAGGAAGCTGCGTGGAGGCTCGTGGAGTCTTTTCAGGCATTTTCACTGAAATCTGTAACCTCCGAACCTCCGGCCCAGCTGCCCCTCTGCCCGCGCTTACCGGTCTCTTCACTCCACGGCTGGGTTTCCTGTTTCCACCGCAGCGCGCCCTGTCCGCTCCGCGTGCCCCTCCTCCTCCAGTGGCCCATCTGGGCTCAGAGCTGCCTGTGCTCCTGTCCCTTCCCCTCCTGGAGGGAGAGCTGCCCTCCCTGCAGTGTTGCTCTTCCTACCCCCGGGGTCCCGCCCTGTTTCCCACACGGGGTGAGGTGCCGTGTCTCCGTCCTTAGGAAGCTCTCCTGGGCTCTGGCCCATACCCAGTTATTGTACTGCTTTCTCCTTTCGGATGTGGCCAAGCTTTTATTTACTTTTACATCGTAGTCTTTTTATTTTAATTTTTTTAAATTTTTAAAATTTTTATTACTTTTAATTAATTTATTTATTTTTGGCCGAGTTGGGTCTTCGTTGCCGCGCGCGGGCTTTCTCCGGTTGCAGCAAGTGAGGGCTACTCTTGGTTGCGGTGCGCGGGCTTCTCATTGCGGTGGCTTCTCTTGTTGCGGAGCACGGGCTCTAGGCCCCTGGGCTCAGTAGTTGTGGCATGCGGGCTCAGTAGCTGTGGCTCACGGGCTCAGTAGTTGTGGCGCACGGGCTTAGTTGCTTCACGGCATGTGGGATCTTCCCGGACCAGGGCTTGAACCCGTGTCCCCTGCATTGGCAGGCGGATTCTTAACCACTGCACCACCAGGGATGCCATCTACATCGTAGTCTTAAGAAGATTTTTACAAAAGCACTATCTACTACCTAGGTTGCTTTGCTTTTTTTTTTTTATTTTCCCTCAGGAGACAAAATACTTCAAATCTGCCTTCCTTTCTTCCCCAGCAATATGTAACCACTATTTGGAGTGTCCATGTTTCCGTAAGTTTACTGTGCTTGTGCGTGTGTATAAGGAAAAGGTGAAACCTGAGGTTTTCGTTGACTTGAAGGCATGACACCTCTAAAGACTTAGCCTTTGCACAGACTTGTAGGATAAAGGTGCTCAGCCCTGAGCTTGGTGTGTTGTGATGTACACGTGTGCTCTGTGTAAGTATGACAATTCAAATAGGCACGCATGGATACGCGCATACCCACAAATAGACTTAAGATTGTTTTACGTACATATGG